AATCCTGCTGAATGATAGGGGATCAAATACTTATTTTCCTTATGAACATGCAAATCAGTGCATAATTTGTTAGACATGCATTTCTTTTAAATTTTCTGTTGCTATTCTGTCTCTCAGTGTTACAATATACCTACCATTCACTTTGCAGACTGATCATTTCTGTGTGAGTAGGCAAACATTCAAAATTAGCAGGGGATCAAATACTTATCTCCTTCATATATATATATATATATATATATATATATATATATATATATATATATTATGACATGGTGACATGGTAGGGGCAGTATTGTTGGGGGAAGGTACATTTTCCATTACTTCTTGTTTTATGTCAGGGGGTAAAATGTGAAAGCACTATGCTGGCTTTTTGACTTGCTTCCATGGATGATTGCTCCTTTCTGTGTTTTCATTCTCACTGGCCTCCATTTATGCTGCAAGTGAGATAAAAAGATGGTTCTGTAGCAAATATGGGGCTCTGGAATGGGGACACAGCAAACTAGCCTAAACGTTGTGCGTAAAGGCTGCTGAAAGTTTGTGTTTTGTATGAGTTAGTTTGATTTAGCCAACCAACTGATAGAGAGGTTCCTGCATGTTTAGTTAGTGCTTGCCCAGGTAGAATTTATTTAAATGTTCATTTTGTTATTTTATTATTTTGCATGTTTTTCACAAACATAAAGCTGAATGCATGTCAGTTTTAAAAATACTTGCCATCTGAAGCTGACTTGTGCATTTTCATCAAGTCTAAAGTGTACATTTATTGTTAGCCATCAAAATTAAGTGGCATTAATTAGAAATTATTTTTTTTAGGAAAATCCATTTTTTATGATATAGAAACATCTACCCAGCCAGTTTATTCTGTCTTTTTTAAGACAAAGGGCAGAGTTCTTATTTCCAGAGTATATTTCTATCCTGACTTTAATGATTAATAATTATAAGCCCTTTCTATCTCCAATTCCAGAAATTATCCACTATGACCTACTTAACCCAGTTACATTACTTCATTGGGAAATAGGTGAAAAGATGCCCATAAATGTAAAGTTGAATGTTATAAATATTTAGCCCTTAGAACAAAAACTTTGTTAAGCTTGTCCTTTGAAAATTTTGAAAATATCTATGACTAAATACTGCTTTAGATTATGAGATGGCGTGGAGACAGGTAATAAATAATTCTGCAGGGTTACAACATGCATGGGTTTTGGATTGAACCACTCATATGAACCTGCTAAGAATTTCTGTCTGCTTTAAAAAAAATCTTATAGTTACGACTTTTCACCTGTCATTAGCTGTTACCATGGCAACCTCTATTGTCTTCACCATTTATATCAATGAGTGAGGTTTTATAGATGCCATTTTAGCTTTAAAGAAAGAGCATTCACAAAGAAAAATTACATATTAAGACAACTATTGCTAAAGAACCACATGTATTTATGAAATTGGTTCTTTCAGCTCAACAGATATGTCAGCATTACAGTTTGTGCCTTTACAAACTTAATATCACAATAAAATCTAAAAATGAACTGACAATTTAATATGCTAAAGACTTTTCTTACAAATAATGAAAAACTAAAAATATGAAAATGGTAAACACAAATTATTTAATGACTAAGTGGCAAATCTTTTAACGAGGAATAAACCCTCCTATGGCACCACCTTAGCCTATATTTAGATCTGCAGTTGCCATGGTGCTGTACATGACCCCCTATGACATTTGAGGTCTTGAACATTTGTTTGAGAACTGATATAAACACACTGGCAACTGTGACAGTTATCACCAAAAGCATATCTTGAATATAACTGTTTTGGAAAACAGTTAACTAGGTGGGTTTACTTCCACTTCAATGGTTTGAAGTAATTTTTTTACATATCTACATACAGAAATGTGCCCACTCTCATTCTCATGGGTAAGTTGTCTTGTGGGGAGACTAGATTTTCCTTATTGTTAGCTATTATATTCCCCAGAAATTATCCAGTACCAGGAATGTATTTATTTTCACCATTTTTCCTACTCTTCTCTTCAGCAGTCATAATTACATAGTTATATAGGTTGCAAATTAGGTTGTCCATGAGTCAACCAAAAGACAACAAAAGATAAACAATTAAGCTACACTCTCAGAATGCTACACCCGCAGCTGATCCAGAAAAAAAAACAAAAGACCTTTATTAAGCATGGTCCAATTTGTCAGACTGAACCATATATCTGATTGTTATATGCAAATTGTTTTTATTGCTTTATAATTTATTTGAAATAAGATGGTGAACAAATTGTTGGTGTATTTGTACTTTAAATAGAACAGTGCAAAAAGCAATAATTTTGTAGAACTTACAACAGTCAATGAGATTTCAGTAGAGAGAGATTTATAGAAAAACATGAATATATGCAGTATAGAAAAATTTTAGAAATATGATAAGCTGATCTGTGTCCCATTTTTTTTTACATAACCTTGAAAGGTCAGCCAAAAATCCTATAGCACCTTACAGATATTTACTTTTAAAATGGTATATGAAATTTGGTAAACACAAAGATATATGGCTAAAGTAGAAACACAATACAACTGACCAACTGAGGAATATTATGTCCCAGAATTTCCACTGGGTCAGAGTAGACAAAAAGATTATATCTGATTAGCTGCTATGGCATTTTGCTCTTTTTTCCTCTTTTAAGTTATTAAAGGCTGAACACACAGAACTAACTAGCAGCATTGAAAAAAAGACAAGGTGACAAATGCAAATTTTATTCCTGCAGTGTGTTTGTGTAGACGCCAACAAAATGTATTTGGAAAAAAAAATAAACATCTTTTTATAATGCTGTTAAATCCTTTCCCTTCTCTACATATAAAGAGTCAGTGGATGCAGCTTCCCCAGAGTTACTAAATCATGTCAGATTAGTAAAATTAAATGTGCTTGTTCCACATATGATTTGAGTTTCAGAAGCATCCTGCTTCTAAAACCGTCTAATTCTTTTACCACAGGTACTCCGATGAAAATGAGAAGTGTAGAGAGCAAACAAATCATTTATTACACCCTGATAAGCAAATTGTTTAATTTGCTTGACTGCTGTAGACTTAACACTCACAATTTTTTATAAGATCCATTGAAGCAGAATAATTCCCATTTGACTTCACAGTCATCTTCTTTTGGCCCAGCGGTGGAAACTATATGCATTCTGACACAACTTCAGTTTCCTTAATGTCATCTTTTAATTTACATTGGCAAACATTTACTTAGTTTAAAAAAGCCTGGTGTGAAAGTGACCTTCATAATTATGACTGATCATCTTAAAGAAAAAGTCATTATAAAAAAAATGTAATGAGAATGTGTCTTCTGTCCTCAATCAAACATTTCCTGAACCATTGCCCATTCCTGCTTGGACTTGTCAATTATATTAATCTGCTTGCATAAAACTGAGGCATAGTTGTTATTTGTCTTTTATCATATGGCATTGTATCAAGTGGAAGGAGGAAATATTTGCATCAGTCTCTTGTGTTTTCCTGACCTTGTGGGGCCCAATGTTAAACCTTTACATTTCACACTTTTCTGTTATTGTAAAAAACAATGAGACCTCGTTTTCACTGTTTATCCTACAATTTCTACCATGTGAATTGATAATGTAACTTATGATGATCTTTGTCATGTGATTTTCAGTTTTTTGGGTTTTTTACATAGTTAGATTTAAATATTTTTTCATTAGAGGTGATCTTTATTTTAAGCAATTGCTCTATCTAGACTACTACTACTAGACAAAAAAAAAACACAAAAAACTGGTGTTTCCTCAGTCTGGCATTTCCTGTCATGTTACAAACATAATAAATTAATACTGTTCCCCCTCAACTGCTGTCAGTCCAGAATGCTGGATGTTGGTCAGGATCCCCTTCTCAAGGGAACAATATGTGTTAAGCCTCCTGCCAACATGTGTGCCATTTAGCACTAAGACTCTTTGAGAGATTTCACCATACTCTAAAATAACCTAGTGAGACACCTTTCTTCTTTTAGATCCAGCATTTATATCCATTTATGACCAAACTCTGTACAAAGTGTCAAGAGAAGGAATTTCAGCTGGTGAATAGTTTAACCACTAGCCTACAGGGCACTTATACCCCCTTCCTGCCCAGGCCAATGTCCAGCTTCGAGCGCTGTTGCACTTTGAATGACAATTGCGCGGTCATGCAACACTGTACAAATATGAAATTTTTATCATTTTTTTGTGACAGATAGAGATTTATTTGGTGGTATTTAATACCTCTGTTTTTTTAATTTTTTCTTAAACAAACCAAACCACTGAAATTTTGAAAAATAAAACGTTTTTTCTTAGTTTTTGTTATAAAATTTTGTAAACAAGTGATTTTTCTCCTTCATTGATGTGCGCTAATGAGGCTGCACTGATGGACACTGATAGGCTGCACTGATGGACACTGATAGGTGGCTCTGATGGGCACTGATGAGGAGGCACCGGTAGGGGGTACTGATGGGCATTGACAGGCACCACTGCTGGGCACTGAAAGGCAGCACTCATATATGGCATGGATAGGTGGCACTGATAGGTGGCACTGATAGGCGGCACTGACTGGCACTGTTAGGCGGCACTGATAGGCAGCACTAATGGGCACTGATAGGTGGCACTGATGCATACTGATAGGCGACACTGACTGGAACTGATAGGCGGCACTGCCTGGCAATGCTATATGCCACTGACTGGCACTGATGGGTGACACTGACACAAACCAAAAACCACTGAAAATTTTGAAAAAAAAAAGTTTTTTCTTAGTTTTTGTTATAAAATTTTGTAAACAAGTGATTTTTCTCCTTTACTGATGTGCGCTAATGAGGCTGCACTGATGGGCACTGATAGGCTGCACTGATGGGCACTGATAGGCTGCACTGATGGACACTGATAGGTGGCACTGATGGGCACTGATGAGGAGGCACCGGTAGGGGGTACTGATGGGCATCACTCATATATGGCATGGATAGGCGGCACTGATAGGCGGCACTGATAGCGGCACTGATAGGTGGCACTGATAGGTGGCACTGATAGGTGGCACTGATAGGTGACTGACTGGCACTGTTAGGCGGCACTGATATGCAGCACTGATGGGCACTGATAGGTGGCACTGATGCACACTGATAGGCGACACTGACTGGAACTGATAGGCGGCATTGACTGGCGCTGATATGTGGCACTGACTGGCACTGATGGGTGACACCGAAAGGCAGCTTAGATGGGAACTGATATGTGGCATTGATGTGCACTGGTAGGCATTGAAATGTGGCATTGATGTGGCACTGATGGGCACTGACAGGTGGCATGGATGAGCACTGACAGCTGGCATTGATGGACACTGACAGGTGGCACTGCTGGCGCTACACAGATCATCAGGGCACACTGATTATCAGTGCCCTGATGATCAGTGTACATATCCCCTCTGAGAGATGCTGATTACCGGCTCTCCTCTCGAGCTGTCAGCGTCACATCTCATGAGGAGAGAAATGCCGATAATCGGCATTTCCCTGTTTACATGTGATCAGCTGTGATTGGACACAGCTGATCACATGACCGAGCTGATATCTTTGGCTCTTTCCGTTGATCAAGGGACATAGTGCACCGCCAATCGCCGCGCTGAGCGCTCCAGGAGCCGCGCATGCGCGTTTAGAATGGGAGGGCGTCATATGACGTCCTCCCAGAACGAGAGAACCGCCTTGCGTCCGTCATTTTACTATATGGCGGGCGGGAGGCGATTAAACAACACCAGGAATAGTAAGAAATTGGGAGGGGACTCCCTGAGCAATATTAACATACAATTGCAAACAGCACACCTTACAGTGTTCGACCTTGGTACCAAATGAGTGCTCATAGTGACAATAGCAGATAGCCCTGCGCAAACCGCAGCAGAATTATGAGACACCAACAGCACCCCATAGTGATGATAAGCACTTTTACTAGAGTATCGTCATGTCAATCAAGCCAAGGCAACATTTTAAAATATGTTTTAAAATGCCAGCCTTTCTAAAACAGAAGCTCTTCTGTCAGAAATGCACAGACACTAAATAATTTGCTGAACCTTACTCTATTAAATCTGAAAGTATTCGACCCACAGCTAAACAGGAAAGTCAAGCTTGAGAAAATACTACACCTTATTTTTGTAATGTGAGCAAAGGCTCGTGGTATATGGCAAGCTGAGAAACACAAGGACACACATTAACACTGGGAATTCCCAGGACTCTGTAATCCTGGGAAAGTCAATTGGTTTCCATGGACAATATATACAAAAGATAAGACTCCATTGCAATCAGAAAAATATTACATTAATTGAACCTGTAATTACATTGTGTTCCAAGTATCTTCAGCTGCCACAAGTTATTAAAATAATCTTTCAATCCAGAAGTAAATTGATACAAACATTTATAATTGCATTGGCTTTACCATGTAGAAAAGATTGGAAAATAATTATCAGTCAGAATTGCTGTATTTTATGTACAATATTCATTTGAAATATGTTCTAATCTTTTGAAATGCCTTAGCTGGGTTTTTAATGATCCCAGATGTCATTTATGTTATAGTGTGTTTGTATATTTTTGACTTACAGATCTTAACCCTTAGTATCCCAATAACATATTTATTTTATAACTATGCTCTACTTCCTCCTAGAATTGCTACCATCAGACAAATAAAGATTCTGCTAAAAGGATAAAATAGAGTCTCCATTCATAAATGTTTGTTTAGATTGATCTTATCTACCATTATTTTCATTGATAAATATGAAAATATGACATGATAATCTCTGGAGATCTCTTCCACAAAAAATCTCACATATGCTCCAGGACACAACTAGCACCTCAACAACTACAAGGGATCCAGCATTGCTCAATCTCACTATATTCTAAATTACGAATCTGACATGTCATACCTTAATATCAGAATGCTTCATGCGTAATAAATAGAGCTAAGAAAATGGGACATGGCTTAGCAAATGGAGCAGCAGAAAATGTGTTTTTCGATACACAAAGAGATGGGGACACAGACATCTTATCCAAAGGCTTGTTGATGGTGATAAGTAATAGAGACTAGCAAACAATTTGTTTGGAAGTTTGATTAACTGTCTCCTGATCAGGAGTTTGCTTGAGTATATAAATGTGGCTTAGTGTGGATTCATTCTGACTTTATAGCAGTCTATTACTAAATATGAGTGAACTAAATCTGGCAAAAAACACTAACCAATCTAACCCATGCATTTTGAAACCACCAGAAGAAAATGTCTACTTTGTAATAGATAGAGTACTAATGTAGATTATACTAACATTCACCATTTTCACAGTCTGTTTTCCCCCATTATCTGTAATAAAATCTATGTGAGAGTACTTGTGATGAGGAGTGTGGCTGTTAGAGCTTCTTCATAATGATGGGTGGGGGCAGTAAAAACAGGAGGCTGAGCTATAGTTTTCCTATCCCCTGACGTCCCACATAATTTTCACAATTCAGCAGGAAAGGGCTGTACACATGCTGCAACTGCAATGCTTTGTTTCATGGCCACTTTAATATATTTTAACTCTAAAGAGTTTGACAGATACCACCATTCTGCCATTGAAGTTAGTGGAAGTGAACTGCAACCATAAGCCAGACACTTGACCGTGGTTGTGGTGCTGTATGTTCAAATTTTCCCTGGAGATAGAAAAAAAAACAACAACAGAAATTCAGGCGGTGACAGGATTGCCTCCTGAATGCCTGCTGGTCACTGCTATACTACCCTCTAAAAAGCAATCCACCACTGATCACTTTTAAGAAGGCAGTTAGCTCTGCTGCCCCTGGGAAAGCACCTTACTCTCCTCAAGCATATAACCAGTTAGAAGAAGAAACAGCATGTTTTTTATTAGAGATGACTAGCTGTCAGTTTTTAAAATCAGTGTGGTCATGCGGGGTTCCACCAACACGTCCATTTCATTCATTCACAGAGTTCTGTGAATGAACGAACAACAAATTCTGACAGCCTTAGTGGCTGTCGGCTTGTAGTTTATTGATTCTTCCTGTCAGTATATCTGCTTGCCCACACATCCTGTAAGGGCAAGCAGATATACTGACAGGTCTGCAGGAGACCTGCATGGCACCAGCAACCTGTTGATCACCAGTGCAATGTTTTACAGGCTCCTGCAACAAAAATAATAAAGGCACATTTTTTTTACCTGCAAAAAAAGCACCTTTATTATTTTTTGTCAAAAGGTGAACTAATTATTTAACAAAAGGCTCAAACTATCACATCATGTCATCCTAAGAAAACAAATGAACATGAATGAATTTGTTATAATTGATTTTGGATTCATTGAAATTCATTACTATTGTGATTTGGAGATTCAGATACATCCGCATTTTCGATCAGCAAAAATTTCTTCCTAATTTCAATTTGTAGCAAAACAAATCACATGTATATTTTAATCAAAGTCTCAAAACATAACATGCTTGGTACATGAAAAGATGTGTCTCCATCTGTAACTTTGTCCCAACTAAAGTCAGGACCAGGGGCGGACTGACCATTTGGAAACTTGGGCACTGTCCGAGGGCCCGGGGTCAGTAGGGGACTCCATGAGATGCCCCTGGTACCTTTTTCATAGGCTTTTTTGAGTTTGGGCAAGGACACAGGGGCCCCATGATCCCCTATTGCCCCGGGGCCCCATGAGTTGTCAGTCCGCCCCTGGTCAGGACATAAATGTATTTTGTCTATAGGTTATTTTGCCTTATAATGACAGAAAGAACTGCTTATAAGACAGAAAGAACTGCTTATAACACTACCCAATATGCAATGCATCTGTAACAGTAAAAATGTAAATAACAACTGACCTTTTTGTGACAAAAAAACTGAATTGTCAACGTCATAATAATGAAGAAGGTAAAGATAATAAAATGTCAAGTAATCAGAAGATGATAAACGAATTGGACATAAGAAACAGATGGCATTTACAGATTAGCACATTTTCAGGATAGAAATGTTGATACGAACATTGGTTGCACTGTATGTATGTCTAGTAGAAATGTATTTTAGGCATTTACAAGCTGATTTCTATAATCTATTTTTATTTTGTGCGCCCATAAAGTGATGTATATGTTTCTGTAACCCTAGAGTAGCAGTGTTCACATTCTGAAATAATATTAGACCTAGGAGGTCAATAGAATGTTAGCCTATGGCAAGTAGTCCACTCCCATGAAATATCTGACCCATTCTTTTGCTGATGTAAAATCTCAGGAGAGCCAATTATTTAGAACATGGTTTGAACCAAGCCTTTTCTCCTAGCTTTAACAAGCCTGTATTTCAATCTCTGAAGTCAATGGCTAGTGATACTTATTCCTAGGAGTCCATTTCAATAGGATTAAGTAACCAGTGACACATTCGTACATGCACTATATACACACCTGTGACTTTTGACAAATGTCAAGCTTTTCAGCTCAGGTATGGATGTATTTAATGTGCTGTTGCTCCTGTGACTCTGACACAGCCTTAAAGATGCAGTTCAGCCAGAAATAGAAAGTTGTACACTTACATGTAATGCCAATCTCCAGGCTCAGCCCCCATCCTTGGAGATCTCCAGCATGTAAGATATTATTGTTGTTATTATTATTATTTAAAATTTATATAGAGCCAACAGTACAGTTACAATACAATTAAATACAGGAAGTATTAGGGGCCATGCTTATTACAGCTTATAATCTAAAAGGGATGGTCAAATGATACAAAAGGGAGTAAATGTGGGGGATGAGATGATGGAGAAAATAAAAGTATAGTTGTTAGGTGGGGGCAGAACTGGCTTCTCTAAAGAGAAGGATTTTCAGGGATCTCCTAAAAGTGGACAGAGTAGGAGATAGTTGAACAGATTAGGGAAGGGATTTTCATAGGATGGGAGAGGCTTGGGAGAAGTCCTGGAGATGGGCATGGGAGGAGGTGAAAAGAGAGCTAGAGAGCAAGAGGAACAAAGGGAATGATTTGGCTGGTATTTAGGGATTAGGTCAGTGATGTAGTGATGCGGGTCAAGTTGTGGATGGCTTTGTAGGTGGTTGTTAGTATTCAGAATTTAGTTTTTTGGGTGAGCAAAAGCCAGTGGGGGGATTGGCAGAGAGGGATAGCAAGCACTGAATGGCTGGTAAGGTTTATGAGTCTGCCAGCAGTATTCATGATGGACTGAAGGAGGGATAGATTATGTAAAGGTAATTCAATTAAGAGGTAATTGCAGTAGTTGAGGTGAGAAATGACCAGGGAGTGAATTAGCAGCTTTGTGGTATCCATGGTTAGAAAGGAGCATATTTTGGTGATGTTGCATAGGTTGAGGCGACAAGCTTTGGATAATGATTTGATGTGAGATTGAAAGGGGAGTTCAGAGTCCAGGATTACACTTAGCACCTTGGCATGTGGGAATGGATTGAAGGCTGCGCCATTGATCTTGCAAGAGAAGTCAGGGGAAGGGGTATATGGGAGAAGAAATATTATGAGCTTTGTTTTAGATAGATTGAATTTGAGGAAGTGGTGTGATATGCAGACTGATGTGTCTTGGTAAATTAGTGGCGCGTGAGGAGAGTGATGGAGGGAGCTGAAGGGTAGAGAGATAGATTT